GGATTCGAACCTCGGACCGAACTACCAGTGTTCAGCGACTTTACCGCTCGGCCGCTGGTGGGCGTTTTGCTTCAGGAATATCACAACGGTCAGCCTAGCTGCAAAAGCTCTCATTCTGATTTTTAAGAATAATGTTCTTACTCACACATATCTATCTCATTTGTATCTTGTTGAGAGCTAACGAAAATTAGAATTGATAAGAAAATTCAGATCGTAATATAGTGGTTTAGTTTAACCGAATACTCGGAAAAGTGACCCGAAGATCGGTTATTCATAGGTAGAGAAACATTTATTTTATTATTTATTTACTTTTTTTCATGACGCGAATAAAATTGCTCATAAAATATACAGAAGAGAAGAGTGATGGCTTAGCAGTGCGCTGAAAGAGTTTTCACTTACTTCCAAATTATTGGAACTGTTACTACTAGTTATTTATGCCATTAGTATAAATAATGAAAGCTGCTCTTAGTAATGTATTTTATACACCTCGAGTAGAAAGTTTTTAAATAATTTACAGCATCAAAAATTAAACTTAACCTATCACTGCCATGTGCATCAGAGCGGCCTTACTTTTCGCAGCCGTGTACATAGAATATAATTCACAATTTTGTATAGTTTGAAACCGTGTGAGTCACTGGCGCTTCACAAATACACAGATTTGTACAATTAAAATTATTTCCAAAGCCTGAGAAAGTTACTCTGTATTTTGATTTCCGGCTTCTGGAAGCTTTTTACCATAAAATGTTATTAATTAGTTAATTAAGTGTTAATATAATTTTAACATTTAATTAATTATTATTTATGTGGAAGTAAGACAATGAATTTTTAATTACAGAGGACTGTTGTTTATTAAAAGTTGATTATTAGTGGTATGTTATTAAGATGTCTAGACATTAAGTTATTCATTTTTGGTTATGTACGCTGTTTTATTGTTTGTATCGTAACACATTATTTGTCTAATTTTATTAATTTTTACTATTAAGACAATGAACTGTTTTGTTACTTTACGATGAATTAAGGTGTAATCTATTTATAAATACAAAAAATATAGAAATTTAGAATCATGCAACTGGAAAGATGAAATGGGAAAATAAACAAAACAATAATGAATTCAAACGAAAACTTGGTATTGAACTGATTTTTAGGATAAATGGAACAACTAAACACTAGAATTAAAAAAATCTGATGTGTACACCACATGACGTCCTTGTACGGAATATTAAATTATATGCATTTTTTCTTGCATTTCATTTAACCTTATTGGATTGAATTAAATTTACTTCCCCGATAGCGCATAAACCACAAAAGAATAAATACACTCTTTAAAATTCACTATATTTGTTTATCATAGCGACGCTCTGGCGCTAGCTTCACGTAACAGAGTTACATCTCATTTATTTTGTAACTTCAACAAACATATCGCCGGAGCTATTACACAAAAGTGTAATTTAACCAGCTGAGTGAGAATGAAGCCTAAAAGGCGCATAAGGATAAGATTTTCCTGGCATGGTAAAACTTTTATAACAAACGTGACTGGCATCAAATTGGAATAAGGTTTAATTATCGTCTGCAGCATTAAAAATATTATTTTGTTTAAAATGTCTCTGAAAAAATAAACAATGGATCGAAGGCTATATTTTTGCGCTGTCCGAAGAGAAATAATCTTATTCAATTATTAAAAAAAGATGTGAAAAGCCTGGTGTTAATATTTCTACGTAAAATAAGTGACATAATTAATATGAAAGAAAAGAAGTGTCAAAGTTTATATGTGACTGGGAAAAAGGCAAAAAATGCATACTCAACAAAGGTACGTACACCTCTTATTAAATCTAAAGTCGCATCTCATGTTTTAAAGAAAAATAGCCCCCCCCCAAAAAAAAAGAGCTGTAGAGACATTAGATATATTTTTTGGAAGCCGGAGAGATGGAAAATATGCAACACCTTCGCCGCGAATTGAACTGTGGACCTCTCAATTACGCGCTGAGCGTGCAGATCACTACACCACGAAGGCTCGCTAAGAAGGCGGGAGAAATACCTTATAGAACTATTGCAAATCAGCTGTATTTGTAAGAACTGTGGAAAAAATATATGTAAAATTTGATTTAAAGCTACTCAAAACAAAAACAAAAAACAAAACAAAAACAAACAAACAAACGAAAAAGAAAAAAGAAAAAACATGATGTTGATCGCCTAACGCCGAAACATGTTTCTCAGCGTAAGACTATGTGCAGATTGCTGCATGAAAATTATCTGGCTGGTGAAAAATGGAAATATGTAGTTACAACTGATGAGGCTTGGATATACTTCCCTGACTGCAATAGAAAAAGATCGATTTACTACCAAAAAAGAGGAGAAAAAGACTTATATTTAATATGTTAGTTCAGAGAAAACAAGGGAAGTTTTTCTAAAGGTTTTATCGTTATTATTATTGTATTCTCTCACAACGGAAAACCTAAAACAAGTAACTTAAAATGAGGAACTTAAATGCTAGAAAAAAATGTCAAAATTAATTTGGATTACTATCAGAAATATGTTTTAACATCTATTTTTAAAGAAGAAATTCCATCTCTTTGTCCAAACAATCTTCGCTGTGTTAAGTTCCATCAGGATAAGGCTCGAAGCCATACATCTATATCTACAGCTCTGTTTTTTTGAAAAAATGTGAAATGAAACCGGAATTGAAGCTATTCCACCCAAGTCCCCTGATGTGTCTTCTATGGATTACTATGCATTTGGACTTTTGAAACAAGCTCTTTATAAACGGCATCCCAAAACATTGGATGGACTCTGGAAGATTGTGAAGGAGGAGTGTAATAAAATCAACCTTGCTATTTCAAGAAAAGGACTTTTATCTTGGAAATTAAGATGTAATATGATAGTTCAACAAAAGGGCTATCAAGCTGAAGATATTAGAAAATAAAATTCTAAGGTTTGTTTATATATAAATCTTTGCAAAATCGTTACAAAAATGTGTTATCACCCTTTATATTTAAGTTCATTGATAGATTTTTAATAATTAAAATTAGCTTTGCACTGCATAAATTCCCAGGAAGTGAAAAAAACTACCAAAATTACAAGCATGAAGAAATAATCTTATATAAATTAGTAAAAAATTTTGCAGACATTCCAAGGGAATTTTGGTATTTATATAAAGAATATGTCGGCTATTAGTTGATTACCACTGATATTGATAGCTTTCCATAACAGGATTTCTGAGATTAACAATTTATGATTATTTGGGGAACATTATGTGTTTTATTTTTATTTTTTAATAAATTGCCTTTTTTTATAAATGCATTTAAATTACTATTAGTACTATAGACTACTACTATTAAATACTAGAAAGTTTCATAGTGTCTTTTTTTAACATAATCCATAGGACATTCATTTAAAATTCAATAGTATTTATTTAATAGTAAACGTAATTTCAATGAGAAACAAATTTGGCAATTTGTGATTTAACTGAAACTAGAAAGTATAGTCACAAATTTTTTAAGTTTATTCTATACAAAAGGTATTGAAAAAAAATTTGATGTACCCAGCATATGATCAGCACCATTTCCATGTTTGAAAACAGCAATGAGCTTTAAGTAAAGCGTCACTTACGGTTGATCGATTGTAAACAAAATCTAATTTGTCGTTCCAATTAATACATCAACATAGTCAAATGTTTGCCTTTTTATTTCTTTTTACTGAAAATTGTATTTTATTGGGTAATTGAATAACATATAATTTAATTGCTTTTTAATTAATATTTAAAATAAATATAATTTAATTTTTATATGTCATTTTTATAGTACCAACAAATCTAAAGTTAATTGATTTGCATATATATCCCTGCGATTTCTCTTTCGTAGTCTTTTGTCATCTTCTGTTTTGCAATCTTTTTTAAGATTATATTTTTCATGAAAATCTACCAATACAACTTTATAAAAGAGATTTATCAGTTTGTATAAAATGAAAATAATATTAACTGATATGCATAACATTAATTTTCTGGTCATTTTCAGTTTTTGAATGCTAAAGTTTCCTTCTTGTTTTTCTTTAGCATAAATTTATTAGTTAATTCAAAAATATGAAATACAGAGGTAAAATATTCTTCTTTCCTTCTTGAGTTCACAAATTATTATCCGAATATATATTTATTATAATACGTAAAGCCTAAAATACACACGTCCTGCGATGATTTGTAGATATTTTTATTTTTACTATGATATTTTCTGCGACGATGTTTTTAAAACTGCCGCGTTTTTTGAACCGCTGTATTTTCGACGATGATGATGTACATGTCACGATGTTTCAGAAATACGATGTTTTCCTCTTGTTTCTTTCTGCCACAATGTTTTGTGTGATGACCGCCTAGCGTTGGTTTCTCCTCGACATTTTCGTCCACAGTGTTTTCGCCTGTAAACTATTTTTATGTGAAAGATTTATTTATTAATTCTTATAAAAAATTTCAAAAGCTAAAAGGAAAATATTAATCCTGATTTGTAGTTTAAAGAAATTTTATTCGAAAAATGTGCTTTTTATAATTTACAGCTGTTTGCTTTTTGCGTCTGTGCTTATTTATATTTAATTTTATATTTATTGAGGATTTTGATTGTTAAGCTAACTTAATCTTATTGTTTGATTTTAGCACTTTGTTCTGAAATTTAAACAATGTGATATAAGCCTCAAGTTGGGATTAAACCATGTATTTGCTATTTTTATTTATCGATATTACTTTTTAATATTTAGCTAATTTTTACCTGCATATTTATTATATTTTATATAACTACTGGGTGTACTTTACAAATAGATAAATACATCTTGTAATAGATAGATTTTTCTCAAATTGTCTGTCATTTTAATTATTTTAAATTTTTATAAAAACAAAATAAAAAAGTTGCATTAACTTCGATTTCTACTTTTCGTTTGCCATCAACTTTTTAAGAAGCAGAGGCCGATTTTATTTGTTATAATTTTGCTATTCTCATATTAATTCTTTACTTTTTCAGCAAATGGGATATCAGTTCTTATCGCGGCGTTATAAGAGGAATATCCTGTCCACAGACTGTACATGCCAAGGTAAATTCTTTTTTCCCATTTTTCATTTTAAAATTAATTAAAATTCCATTTTCATCTTTTATTGTATCTGGAAATGCATTTATTTATCTATATATTTATTTAATTATGTACCCTGCTAACTGTCAGTTTTTTCTCTGTATTTTGCCGTTATTTAACAGAATCAACTTGTAAGGTTATGTTTATTGTTACTTAAATATTGCTTTATTTTTTCCTTAATATAAAAAGTAACACATTACACCAGTAAATGTTTTTCTTTGTTGTCCGTTATTAAACAGTTTTATTAAATTATTTAATTGAATGTCAAATGGGCATTAGCTTTCATGTTTGCTGTTACGCAGTACTTCTTATGTATCATTTGTGTATCATTAGCGAAAATTATTGAATTGAAAATTTAATGAGGGCAGAACAGAAACAGAGATATTCCCTGGCCATCGGATATTAACGCTGCTCGGCATGCAGTTGGGTTTAATAAGGATTTTGAGTCTGATTGGTTATTTTACTAAGCATTCGTGGCCTGTGTCTTGTTAGAATAATAAGCTATATAATAATAAGCTTATCAGATAGAGTTTACATTTTTTAACTCTTTTGAATAAGATACATTCCAATGGCTTCAACGATCACGTGACTTATGTACAGCTAATGTAAATTAACAAAGTTATTCTTTCTCTTCTTCTGTTGCGAAACGTATCTCATTGTTTTTGATTAAAAAGACTGCATTTAAAGATCGCATTTTGCTCTTAAAAGGAATTCAGAATTTGGCAAAATAGTAGGAAATGATTTAATAGTAGAAAACTATAGTAGCAACGGTTTTAGCAGTAAAAATCAATGCATTCGTTTCCCTGTATATCCCTTTCAAAATTTACTAAATACAAAAGTTAAAAAATTTAATGAAGTACCAAAATAGACAGCATTTCTTTTCCATAACAGTAATATTTTCTTTTTGGTATTTATATATTCATACAAAGGTGCTCGTGCTAATATATGCATAATATCGTACAGAAAATTTTTAATCTTATGCGATCTCGGCACAGCAGTGTGTCGTAAATATTTTTGAAAAAAGGGAATATGCATTAAGAAAGATTTGCGGATTATAACTTTTTTCTATGAAACTACAGTTCATTAACATAACAGGTTATAAATTCTGATATATATGTTGCCATATTTTTTCTTTAGCTGTCTTAAATTATGTTCACTGCCGTGTTATTTTTAGCATGTATTCTGAATTTTTATATATCAATTAATTTTGATAATATCATTGCTGAGAAATTGAATTCCTTTGTATGCGTTAATGACTTTTCCAGCATGTATTTTGAATTTCTACATCTGAATTCATTTCAATAATGTAACTAACTAGACAGCAATTTCTTAAAAAAATTTAATGATTTTGCATAATGTGAAAACTTTGATATCATAGATTTATGAAATGTTATGTTTCAGTATGACTGTATTATAAATATTAGATAAAAAAAACCGGTAAAAAATTCTCCTATGATTAAGAATTCTGGCAGCGCCACCTTGCCACCTTTAGCAGATAATAGCCTGTTATCGAAGAATTATTTGAAATAAAAAAAAAAGGATTTATGTTATTGCTTTAGCATAACTATTTTTATAAAAAAAATATTCTATTGGCAAGCTGTCATTAGCTCTGTTTCGAATTACAGAATAAATGTCAGCACATATAGAAAAATATTTGGTCATCCGGAAAATAAATAAATTATCGAGGTGTTCTTTCACACTGTTCAAGGAAGTGAACTCCAGGCCGTTCAGAGAATTATGAAGTGATCTGAAGGAATGCAAATCCAAAAAGCAATGTGTAGTAAACGTGGGGAAGTGCTACAAAACATCGCAGCTATGCTCAATAAGTGTTTATCTTGACATTCACCGAAATGTGGGATTGAGCATGAATGTCATCATTATGGAGCACAAAACTTCAAAAACTGGTCAGTTTTGTGCACTTTGTGGTGACAACAGCTCTTAGTTTGCAGTTTCTTTGTAGTTCCATCATGCACAAAGCATTCCTTTTTTAGAGTGAAAGCCATTTTCGATGGTACAAAGGAAATTATCCTGGCTGACCACATGAACTTTTTCTTGTAACATTATTTCATGGTATTTACTTCTCATCCCCGGTAATGAGTCATTTTAAAAATAGATACCAAATCTTCTTCAAATGATCATGTACTGTACTTTTTGGAATGTTTAGACTGCCTGATAATTTCTGAGCTGTATAACATGGATTTACAGCGATAGGTACTTGTTTACACTGGATGGTCATTCTGAACGTATATTTTGTTGGAAGCTGAAATTTCCACGCTTAAATTTCTCAAACAACCTTCAGACTGTGCCATCCAGAAGCACCATTTTGTCGATACGTAGCACAACTTTTACAAACAGTCTGACTGGCATTTTTTCCTTTTTTAAAATAAAGGAGCATAACATGATGAAAATGAACTTCATAACATAACATGATGAATAATATAACAAGGTTCTTCATTCTTTGGGAACTGGGACAAACTTGTGGGAAAAATTACACAACAATACATGCAAGAATTAAGCAACATGAGCTGAAAGACAATTTTTAAATATACGCCTCAATCAAGATCACGCCTTATCAACAGTACTAATTAGAAGAAAATGCGCTTTGATTTGAAAAAAGCAGAACTTTCCGGATGACCCTGTAGAGTTCTAATTGCCATTATATAATATAACAAGGTATAAATGAACTGCAGGCTACAATGAAAAGATCTCATTTCGACTTTACACACTTCTGCACTTTATTAAATTCTTGGAAGGATTCTATAAAACTAAAAGCTCTTATTACCTTATACATCGTATACGCTAAAGTCCTTATCCGGTCTTTATTTTCGAAATCATTGATCCTAGAAGTATACTTTCAAATACCTAAATATTTTAAGTGATTCAAAGATTCATGCTGTAGCAATTTAAACTTAAAAAAATCAATTTTGTAAAAATTACGAAATTTAAAGTTTTATATGGCCGCGTGGTTCCTATACTAATATTTAGGAACATTTCATTCCCATTATAAGAAATAAAATGCAAAAGGTGTGACTCTTGTACTACAAAAATAAACCGAAATTTTTGATTTCAAAATGTAACATCATTTTCTTTAGACATTATTTTCCTGTCTTTAGGAGTAGGTTTAAAATACATTAGAACAATTCGAGGTTCATTTTTATTCTTAAATGTCATTCAGTGATATTCTTCTGTGATTTACTAGTGTGTAGCATTCTCTAATTTAATATTTTGTGATAAATGAAGTAACAAAAATATTTTCATGCTAGTAATTTGTATATTTTCAAACGGTTAGAGTATAAATTTTCCTTCCAAAGCATGAATATTTCTATCATTTGAAATATTTTTGTGGTTGGAAATATAATTTCATTTTTTACAGAACTGTCATTCTTGATTTCAAATAAGTGCACTTCGCACACCTATTTAAATAATGTACGAGATAAGGGAATTTAAATCTGTTGCAATGAAACTTAATTTTTAAATATATATTTTTAAAAAGTGCTGGATAAGAAGTTTTGTGGACATGATGTATAATCACTATGGAGTAAAATATGTTGTCTTATAACCAAACGGCATTAGATTTTAATATTTTTGAAACTAGAAAGAAAATGTCTTTTATTTTCGATTTACTTACTTCAGTTAAATTTGTTAAGTAAATCCATATTTAATCTAAGCGATATTTTTCTCATTCCATCACCTAATTTCGTTTAATTAATAACGGCTGGTGCATAAATTATTTGGAATTAGAGACAACAACATCTTATATTTTTTACCAGTGCTACCTTTTTTCTATGTATGCTTTTTATTCTCTTCTTTTCAAAAGAGCAGAGTTCATTAAGATGAAAATTCAATATTTAGTATAAATTGCATACCTAAGTTTTATTTTAGCGAATGAATATGAGTGATATTACTACAAATTTAACACCCTTTATGATCAATCAATATAGAGATCTAAAGACGAACATAAAAGCATAACAGATTATTACTGCTTTTCAACTATAGCTTGGCGATAAGTGTTGTAGTTTAGTCTTTGAGCCTTGACCTTTTGGTTATTTATCATCCTACAATTAACTGTCATATTACAACGTTGTTTTTAATTGGCAGTATATTAAAGAACAAAAACACTTCAATGTTATGCACTTATGCAATATATTCTGATCGTTAGTTTTCTGGTGAAACATGTATTAACCTTTTAAAATAAAATAATGAAAAATGTCAGTCATTAAATGGAGAAGACTTGTTTTTAGAGATTACTTTATTCAGTATTATTTTCCTTCAGTTATTTTAATTTAGGGGGATCTCGTTTAAGAGCAAAGGGCGATTAGACAGGTTTTACTGCATTTGAGAAGTCTTAAAAGGAACACTTCATTATATTTTTTATATAATTTGGTCATTGAAAATTCTATAAAAAATAATTGAAATTTTCTGTAGTATTTTTTTCTTTGTTGTTGTTTTGTTTTCTGTTAAAGTTTTTTTTGGTAGAACAGAGGAAAAAAACAATGCATTCAAAGTAAAGGAAAATTAAACAAGGTATCTTAGTGGTTCATTCTGTATATCAGTATAAATCTTTAGTCATTTCAATGAACAAAAGACATTTTAAGAAGCAGACATTTTTTGCGTCAAAATGTTAACAAAATAATTCATTCTAATAACATTTTAAATGGCAAATACATCCTGTTTGTTTAATTTCAGGTATGTTGAATTGAGTACATGAAAAAAAAGATATGTTCTCTTTAGTTCATTTATGCCATTATTTTACCCTATGAATAAACAGAGACTTTAAGGCGAGATACGTAGAAGTCTAAAAATTATATGTTTCTCTTTCATTTACTTTCATAGCACTTTTTAAAAGTTGTTACAGTTGTTCAACCCGATTTCATGCACATGTTCAGAAGTAAATGAAATAAACTAGTTAAGCTTTATTATTATTATTTTAATTCTTTTATCTTTACGATGCCTTGCCAACTGAA